TGATTATTGTTTGTTTTCAGGACAAATACAGTTTGTAAATTTTTAATTTTATTGATGATTTGAGATTTTCTGCTGAATGAGATTCTACCTTACATTTTACTAAAGGAAGTAATGAAATATTTTTTGATGGCAACACAATTGAGTCAGATTGAAATATTTAGAGGAGACTCTGAGATGTCCCTTAAAAAATTGCATTAATTCCAAGTATTTTTCACAGAAACAAAAGTGGAAAAGAACAATGAAAAACAAGAGGACAAGGACATTCACCTAATCCTGAGGAAATTCAAATTAGCTTGTGACAAATATGAATATTTTTACTTCTTATACAAAGTATTTTATGTGAATGATAAGGCATATGTTAATAGATTGCTTTCTATGGCTTAAGTTTGCATTCTCAGTCAATTATCCATGATTATGAAGTGAAAATTATGAATATGTGGAAAACCATTCTCTAGAAGAACCACATAAAGAATCATCTGCTTTTTTTTTTTAATTTTCAAATATTTGTCTTCTTCACCTTTTTCTTTCTTTTTTTTTTCTCCAGAGCATTCAGCAAGTCTCCCTTATCAGTAAAAGTGAGGAAAAAAAGTCACTCAGTGAGTGTAAAGTGACACACGAACTTGCCTACATCAATAATTTCTAGTAAAAACATGACTTGTTTTAGAAGCCAAAGTAAACTGGAGGTGGCAATTGTTTCCTTCTTCTTTGACATAATGCACCATGTAAATGGTTCTATTAGCGATACTAAAGCCTTTGATCAGACTTAAATAATTAATGACTCATGTCAGTATTCATGTTCTGCGTTATCTTTAAATAACAACAGCAAAGCGAGAGAGTCTTTCTCTCTGAATCAGTGTGAAATTCTTGCTATGATAATATAAGCACTTTTTTAAATTGCTATGTCCTGGGCAGCAAGTTTGCTTTGCAGAATCTAGTATAATAGACAATCACAATAATTTAAAAATACGTAAGTTTTCTTAAGAAAAAAAAAAAAAAGGCTAAGAATAAGAGAACTAGGTACAATAACAGATATCCTAATGAATACTGTTCTAGCTATAAGTGCTAGTGAGCTACAGTTTTACATACATACGCTTCTTGCACATGCATGCACACCCAGTGACCTAAGATGATGCCTCTAAGCAATTTTAAAGCGGAATAACTTTGAAGAGTAAATAATATTTCAAATGATGGGACAGATAAATACAGGTTCAATCACATAGGAAATACTTAATTCAAGTTCATAAGACCTGAAGAAAAGCTTGTCCGAAATTGATACTTCCGTTCAAGTTTAACCTGGGGGACAGGGAATATGATGTTGCTGACGTAATTTCTCTAATTTAAACCTTTCACAGTGATTTGTAGGTCTGGCAAAGCATTCTGTTAGGTACCACATACAATTAGGGAAAGAAAAATACAAACTTTTGCTGTTTTTATTTTCTCTTAATTCCCATGGCTGTATGAAGTGCTTTTTCTCCCACAAGTTAGAATTTTAAAGTTATTTTATACCTCTCTGCCTGATGGGGTTTTCAGGGCATATTCTCTATCCTATGCTAAATAGGAGCAGTTTCTTACAGTACAAAGATAAGAAGCCGGATGTACACTTGGTTTATAAAACAAGAGTTTTTCATCCAATTCCAGAGCGCAAAATGATAAAAAGGCCAGGTAACATTAAACCTTCAGGTCAAATAATAACTCCAAATTCAAGATATATGAAAGCCTGTAAGAAAGAGACATGTTCAATATGTCTCCAAAACATCTTATCATAGGAAAATCACACTTCTGGTATCAGCTTCTCTTTTTGTCCAGGCAAGTGTAGAATATCACCTGCCATTCAAACACTTGACAAAAAGTAAAACAATATTTTATAAACATAGCTTTGCAGCAACTCTTTGATCAGTTTTACTTCAAGATCCCACGTAAGGAGGAGGCTCATACAGAGAACAGCCCTGGACAGGAGAAAATTGGACACTCACCCCTATCCTGCATTTTACTCACATACCAAACATGGAGGATTGAGTTTATCCTCTTTACCTCCAAAATAGACAGTACTCCAAAAACACACCTTAAAGATGGTATCTTTTCTTCCCATTTCTCTGTCTTCCTTTATGTCTCCTCTTCCTCTTCAGAGTTCCTTCTCTATTCTTTTCCCATCTATTAGGTAAAATCATTTGGATGACCACAGTCACAGTATCATATTTTAAGTCTAATATACAACATTTGGATATCTTCTAGCAAAATCTTCCGTGCTTCATTTTATCACCTGTGAGAAACACCATTAGACTCACACTTGATACCTTGAAGAAAAAGATCTGACATCTGCTTTTCCAAATCAGAAGGCAAGGCACCTTACAGTATTAAACACACATGGTGTGTTAATAGCAACAGCAGAAAATCTAGTTGTGTAAAAAAGTACGGTTTAAAGTGCAAATAGATTTAATATCTTTAATATTAAATTCCCAATCTACCTTTGACTATAAAAAAAAACTGTGAGAGTCATACATTACAGTTATTATTAAAATTCATTATATTATTAAATATTTATAGACGTGAGTAAAAATCTCATTAAGCATAGCATTGATGTGATAATAGAGTTCATAAAAACACTGCTCTGTTTTTCCTGATTAGTTCTCATACACTTTTCTCACCAATCTCTTTATTTTGTTCTGCATGGGCATAAATGAAAAAAAATCCCAAACATCTGTTAGTTTTGTAATATATTTTTTTTAATTTAATTTTTATTTGCTTTCTGAAGAACATCCTGGAAAATTGTAGGTGCTGAAACTCAGATATTTGGCACACAGCTGAATCAGATGCAGGTGGAAATTAGCAATATGTATTTTCCTAAAATGAATATTTACTGTCTTATAATTGCAAACATTTTAGTCTCAATAAATAAGTGTTAACTTTTCTGAGTAGATATTTACTTTACACTTAAACACAAAACTGGCAATTTTAGGCCTTACTAAGATAAAAGCACCCAAAGATTTCTGAAAAAAAAAATGGTTTTTGTGCTTACGCAAGATGAGTGTATGCCCAGACTTTTTACTGGAGATTCTCTCTAAGCTTTTGTGGTTGTGCCTTTGATAGCTTCCTAGAGCTACCTGTAGCCAGAGACGAAAAAGCACATCCCATGTGGGAAGCTATGGTCATGGTGAGCAGGCAGCAGTAGGGATGGGTCAGGTGATCCAGAGTTCCATTGGACAGGCAGGCTGCTCTTAACCGGGTGAGATTCATCAACACTGTCAGCCTTCCTTCCCTAATCCCATATCTGAGCTCCCTGGCAGCCTCACCGCCATTCAAGCTCTCAGGCTGGTCTTGAGTTAGTGAATCATCAGCAAGTGAAAGGCCTCCTATGGGCTGCTCTTCAGTACTATGAAGCATAAGGCTATCTTCCGTTGCATAAAGTTATTTTTCTTTTTAAATAAATTGTGCAAGAATCTAACATATGCCCTTGTATTATGAGAAATCTGAAGTGGCAGTACAAATACTGAACATCAACCAAAACATCGGGAAATGGAGTAAAAAAAGATTCAGAAAAGATCTGGCACTAACAGTACTGGTCTGTAGTGGTATCGTAACTATTAAAAACTGATGTCAGTCTGTGCGGACAAAATGTACTACAAAACTTGTGTTTGCTTATATTTGAGGCAAACATGTCTTGGACTAAATGGAAAGCTGTGAAGCTGACGTACGAAGATTATCCCTGCTGATAACAGAAGCACTCAGAAACAGCACTGGTTGTCTGAGACATGAGAAGGAGCAGAACTATAGCTGGGGAGTACAGCTGGAATACTTGGCAGAGCTTCTCCAGTTTCACTGTACTACAACCTGGTTCTGTTACATAAGAAAATGTCAGTTTTTCCTTCCTATCTAGCAACAGAAAAAAAAAAAAAAAAAAAAAAAAAAAAGGTTGAAAAAGCCAGGATTGCTAAAGAGGAGCACAGGCACTAAAATTGTGCAATCAGTTTTAAATGAAATACAGCACTTGAAAGAAAAACCCTGTTGTGTGTGGTACACACAAAGAAAATGGTGTAACAGAATGCTTGAAATGAGCTTTGTCCAGCATTTAGTAATAAAAGAATTTCAAAACAATAGAATAGTAGACAAGAAAACAGAAATATCCAAAATTAAAGACTGTTATTGAAGTAACAAGTACTGAATTTGAGGAAAACCATCATGTACCCCAGGCAGAGACTAACTGACACTCAACCCACTGCTCTCTAAAGGACAGAGCACCAGGTGGAGGTGCTGACAAATGACAAACATCTGACTGACCGTTTGCTTTTTCTCTCTCATAGAATGCACAAAGAATGTGAACTCTTCACTTCTGCTATAGGTGCCTGTATATATGTAATGAGAATAATATGGGGTGGAACTTCCCATTGCAGCTGGCCAGAGGTCTTTCTGCACACTGTGGAGTGGGGTAAATGTGGGGTGGCCAGGGGCTGCCAGCATGTTAACAGCCATGAGCTTATTGGCTTTTCTTTTATTTGCCTTTGGATCCAGTGAGCTAAACTACCCTCTGTAAAACCAGGCCATTTGTCAGCAATATTAGTCTATGAAAGTTATAGAGTATCAAATGCAGTAATTGTTAAAGGAGGTCAGATGGCTCTGATTTTAGCAATGCAAGCCCTAATGATCTCTTATTTTTCTGCCATTTTCCATTTAAATTATAAGCTGTGTGAATTTTAATGTCTGGTTCATCTATAAAGTTGAAAACTGTACTGTCAAATGAATTTGAAGTTCATACTAGATTAGCGAGAATGAGGTTAAATAGTGAATTGCAGAAACAGAATACTGGATTTTTTGGTACCATGTTTTATTGAAGCACCTGGAAGCACTCAAGAATCAAGCAAGACTTCACAAATCATTTCAGAAATTGAACATTTAATTCATTTAAAATTTCAAATTAGCTTATCTGTATACTTAGAAATTTAGCACTGTTTAAATATTCATACCTGAACAGTGAAAAATATCCCTATTTAACAATAGATCTCAAGTTTGTAACTCTGAATATAATCAAGAAAAGAAGAACAGAATTGTAATTTAACATAGCTTAACTAAACCACTTTGATGCTGTATGTATTAAAGAAGTGATTGAGTTTTTACATAAAGCAAAAGTATCACTTCTTCATATTTGACCTTTTCAGGCCAAACAACTTAAAATCTGTTTTTAAAAATACTCTTATTCTTTTCACATCTGAGTAGAATTCTCAAGGAATATTCCATTGTACTTCATTTCATAGCTGTGCTTTGGGGAAGGGCTCTGCTAACACTCCTTGACACACAAGGCAACAAGGAAGAGAAAACAGCTATTAGGACCGGGCTTCATCACTCCAGTTCTGAAACCAACTTCGGCAGCATTTCATAGACAAATGGCCTTGTCAGTTTGTATTTTAGAAAACCATGTGGCAAGTTCATATAGACAGGTGGAGCTGTTTCAAGCAATAGGGATTTCCTTCGTCCGCCACTTAGAAGTTGCAAAGACTGATCTGAAGGCCACAGAAAGGAAGAGGATGCAATAGTTGTAAAGAGACCACAGAAAGATAAAAGCTCAGACTAAACATTCAGATTGAGATTTTGGTCACCTGATAGATGAATGTGAAGCTAGTGACAGCTAGTGTTTCATGAAAATGTTGTTCATTATTTTCAGTGTTCAAGCTCTGAAATGAAATTAAAAGGAAGAACATATTAAAATTTGAATAGTTAAAATTATTACATTATTGAAATGATTATTTTTTCAGGTGTCATTGGAAAAGGAAAAAAGATATCAATGACAGAGAAAACAAAACGAAACAGAACAATAAATGAGACAATGAAAATAGTAGGCAGGCACACTGTATGTGCTTACAGACCTGACTCTATCCATCCTCTGTACTTGTTCCTGCATCAGACAAGTGCAGATCATGAGGCTCTTGTCTCTTCTACAGCTCACTTCTCTCTCTCCACTTGCACTTCACTGGGATGGCATGGCCCTGAAGACAAAAGTTATATGTAAGATCCCTGAGGTTATTAATTAATTAATCGCAATTAATCAAAATTTGACTTTGTTTTTGTACCGAGCTGGCTTGGAAATACAATAAAAAATCTTTTTCTAAATAACCATATGTGTAAGGCATCACAGTCGTTACTCTGAGCACAGTTCTGATGTCACTAAAGTAGGAAGGCATTATCCTTGATACGAGTTGGGGTCTGGTGCAGACTCAGTTTTTTCTTGAGTCTTTTTCCACAGTTGAAATCAACAAGCTGTATTTCTACTTCTACCACATCGTGTCAATAGTTGTAACATTTTACCATTCTAAGCACTGAGTAAAAGACAAAAATTCTGTAACACATAAAGCACCAGAGACAACATGATATTCTTTCTCTGTTATTTGCCACGCTTTAATCAGTGTTACAAAGATCATGTATGTTTTCTATGCACTTCATTCTATAGAGTTATTTACACTACTCTGTTCCATATAAAAATTGTTTTAATGTCAATTTTATAAAACAAGAAAAAAAATGTCTATTTCTAATTGATTTTTAAAATAGTTTTGAAAGCTAATTCTGGTAAAATGGCTATTTGTTGTTTGTAAAAAGATTAAGTTTTCAAAAGATGATTTTTTGGGCAGATTCAGAACCAGAACCAAAGGAAAATGTGGAAGCATTTTCACTGGAAAGCTACACCAAGTTTTAGTCAATCAGAGTCTCTAAAAGTGTTAAATTTTGTTTTAAAAAATATATTTATTTTTTGTCCAAAAATGATATTACAAACTTCAGCTTCTTTAATGCTACACACTATTAGTCATGAAATGAGAACCATGCATGAGAAATCCTTCATCGTCTAAAACAGTTGCAATCATTCTGCCTGCAACCAAGAATACAAGCCAAGACAGAAATGCCAAAAGAGCACTGCCCAAGTTAAACAGGATGTGGTGGCAAGTACCTACACTGTGATTACTGTTTTACTTGGTGTCTGAGAGAAGGTGGTACAAGCTACAGGTGTGGCCAAAAGCCTAAAACCCTGCTAATGTCAGCAGAGTACTAGCCTGCTGATTTCCTACCATTAACACCATGCAAGAACGTCCCACAATATCACAGGCTTCAACTCAAGTCCCAGAATCAGACTGCTTCACTTTTCATGCTCTAGCTCAGTCCAGGAAACTTAAAAACGGACAAATGCTAATAAAAACTCCCACTAGACTAAAGTAGGCAGCATTATAAGCCAGGCAATGTATGAAAGACTATGTAATGATAATGACGTATCTCTATGTGATTCTGCCCAACCACTCCCGTTGTACCATTTCTGTCCAAGATCTAGATCAGCCCTTGCTTTGCTTCATATGATGGGTCACCTTCACCTTTTTACGCTTGGCCAACTTAACGGATTTGTATTGAGTGCTCCTTATGGGTGGAATTTAATTAAAATATAAACATCTATAATCTGGTACCTAAATATCCATTTCTAGTACATAATTGCTAAAATCATTCAATTTGACATTCTACTGACCCAGTTTTGAATGCTTTTCTAACAGTGTTTCCCTTGCAGTGTTTGTCTCTGCTTACACAAAAGTGCTGACAACATTAGTAACTTTTGTTAATATTTTTAATACATTATTAATAGCAGCAGCAACAGTGTCACAGTGAGTCCTCAGTGGATTCTAAAACTCAACTGGGAGAAGTGAATGCATTTCTTGAAGCTGTTTAGACCGCCTCTCTGGTGAGAAAACAATTGAAAAAAAAATAGTTTAAAAAAAGATGCCATATATATGTATATATAATTCTAAAGAACTAGACATACATTTATCACTCATTTTAATTCAGCAGTACCAAACAGCTTTTATTGCAACCAGTGTCCTAGAAGATTTACGACTCTTTACTTTCCTGCAGATCTGTATCTTAATTTCTGCATGTAATAATAATGAACCTGTGCAATATGTTTTTTTTTGTTTTGTTTTGTTTTTTGTTTTCTTTTTAATTATGTTCATGGCTTTGATTTCCCTATTGGACTGTATAGAATAGAACAGAATACAATATGGTATAGTAGAATGTGGTATGATGCAGAACAGTACAATACAGTAACATACAATACAATAATTGAATTGAAAAGATCATGATGTCCAACTGCCAGACCAATGAGTACTAAACAAAAGAAAAAGCACATTATCAAGTGCATTATCCAAATGCCTCTTGAGCTCAGATGACCTGTGAGCTCCAGTCACCTCTCTAGGAAGCCTGTTTCAGTGTGTGATCAACCTCATGGTAAAGAAATTTTTCCCAGTGTCGGCCTGAACCTCTCCAAATACAGCTTTGTGCCATTCCCAACTGTCTTGCCATTGGTTGCCAGGTAAAAGAGCCCAGCATCTCCTCCTGTGTTTCCCCTCCTCAGAGCATTGCAGGGAAAAATGAGGTTGCCTCTCAGCCTCCTGCAGACCAGACAACCCAAATGTCCTCAGCCTCTCCTCACAACCCTGTTACCGGTTCTGTTGACCTCGCCTGGATGCAGTCAAGCATCTTAATTTCTTTTCCTTATTGTGGAGTTCAGAACTACATACAGTATTTAAGGTGAAGCTTGATCACTGCTATGTATAGGGGGAGAATCACCTCTTTGACCAGCTGTCTGTGCTGTACTTAAGACACCCCAAAATACAGTTTGCCCTCCTAGCTGGCAGGGCACGCTGTTGGCTCACATTGATTCTACTGTCAACATTGCTCTTGTCTTTATATGGAAAAACAGAAAGACAGTGCTTTTGACTAAATGAGCCAGATCTCCAGCTACATGAGGATAACTTTGTTTCACTCCAGTGGGAGAAAGTTGTTCAAAAGCCAATTCCCCTGACCTGGGGGATCTTCCCTGATTTAATTTCTCCTGTTGGACTTTTCCACTCTGTAATGAAACATTCACTGGGTAAGAGGGAAACAAAGAATAAAGAAGAAGGAAAAAAATAAGCCCTTTGTAGATGTTCCAGTCCTCTGGTCCAAGGAATATTTAATTATTTAGACGAAATAGAACTGCTTCACTGGAGAGTCCCAGAGAGTTCCATGGTGATAGTCTGATAGAAAAGAACTGACAAAGGAAACCTGGAGTATAAATCTTAATACAGGAAAAAGTGCCTGAAAGTAACATAAAGTTATCCCTACTAAGTGAACTGAGAAGGAAAAGTAGAGTTTATTAGAAAATTAATTATCCTTAATCAGATATTTCACACTGATTAACATTTTGTTTTGTATTCTTAAATTAGTGAAGTAGCCACTGGGGGAATTCATCAGCTTTAACACACTTGTAATAAACATGGCGTATTTGTTGTGATTATTTGTTTTAAGTTGTTACACAAACTTTTCTAATCCAGCTAAGTCAGAAAAGCTTGAGATGGAGGTACTCTGAAAAAAAAAAAAAAAGACATTTCTCACAAGGGAAAAGGAAGGCTGATTAAGTAGTGATGTTACATACAGTGCGTACCTTTACCAGTGACATATGCTGAATCCAGCTGATAGGTCAAATGCACAAGTGAAGTTTTAATGAAAACAGATGCCCAGAGGATCCTAGAGCAGCTGCATCTGCCCATGCTCCATGTGTAGAACATCTTCCCGTTGCTCCTCAGTGCTGCACTCCCCCACTTCCAAGAAACCAGGGGCCTCTTAAAACAAGGTTGAAAGAAGAACGTCTTACTAGTCAGCTGGCAACATGTCTGCATTTTTAAGCTAGCCTGGATACAGCAGAGGAGAGCTTAGATTTTGCTATGTGACTGACCTCTCTTAGCCAAGTTCATAACAGTGTGAGCTATCAAATATGACAGGCTCTTGGCAAGCACTTGTATGCTTTTGGCAAGAACCTCTTCCAAGCCCAGCTGGGATCAATTAAACTAAATAATAGTTCTTGCAATAACTGGTTCCTACCACACTCTTCAGAAATTGCTTAGTGTTTGAATGTAAATACTGTTAAGTTCATACCTTGTTTACCCTTACCCCTTTTTGCAGAAACTATGACAGAACTTCAAACCTAAGATTTTTGAAGCAAATTTGTAAAGGTTGCGTGGGGAAGAAACATGATATGTTCAGGCATACATGTCTTGTCTTGTTTCCTATCAAGAAATCCACTGTGTTCTTCTAATATCCCAAATACAAAAATAATTATCATAAATAAATAAAAAATATAAAAAACAATCCCCAAAAAACCCTGATGCATTCATTTCTCAAGACGTCTTGTTAAATGAAGATGTCATTGTCATAACTGATTAGTAAAGTGATCTAACTAAGCTGTTATCAAGTCCTACCTTCCAAATCCAAAGTAACTGACCAAAAAAATATGCTGTAACAAAGGGTTTTCAGGGCCCAATGATACATTAGGTGAAGGGGCATTTAAATTCTAGGTGATTCTTAAACATTTTACTTCTGTACGGAGCTTTGATGTGAGCACCATGAATAAACAATCTCATCTTTTAAATGAAGGAAAACATTGTAATTGGAGCAAATATGAATGTTTTTCACTTTGACTGAAAAGCAGAATTACTTTCCACTCAAGTAAAAAAAAAAATAAATAAAAAAAAATAAAAAATCATTAAAAGCTCATTTTTATAATCCAGCAAAATCTTCAGATCTTTCCTGAGAAGCGTACATGTGAAAGTTATGCATTCAAACAGTTAGTTACTCTGAAGCCAAACAGTTTCTGCACAGTTCATTCTATCAGTAACAGAGGAATACAGTTTTCTACCTAAATAAAAAGAAATACAATGCATTACTTTTTTATTGTTATTTTTGAATGAATGTCATGTGGTTATACATGCCAGATTTACAAAACTTAATGTAACACTAAGAAAGCACTTGTTCTGCTAAACACTTGAAAGCAGTTGGACTGCCCAGCTGCTTAAAGGCCTTTGATGAATGGAAGCCAAGACTTTTATGGTCCTGTGAAATGTCCAGTGCTACCCTGGAAGAAGTACACTGATGTGTCACTGCATTCCTTGCGTAATCACTTTTGCCATCAAGCATTCTCCCCTTATTTGAGAAGCTGGAGTATCTTATCTGGCCTAGGCTCTCTCTGCAATATTCTGTTAACCTAAGAGAGGAGTTTGCAGCCTGTCTGCAAACAGTCGAATTTGAAACATTGTTACATTTTACAAGTTCAAGTCTTGGAGATGATGGCTTACCTTAAATAAGCAATACCAACAGCAGAAAGCCATTCGTAATTTCATCTAATTTCAAAAACAATTTCTTAAGCCAGAGGATGGCTGAAAGCACCAAGTTATTCAATTAAGTCCTCCTCTGAGAAAAGATCAATAAATATGGCATTGCAAGGCCCTAAGTGTGTTACTTTTACACAGACTTGGAGAATATATTCATTTCTCTACTAGAAATTTTTTTTACAGTTTTTTTACAGTTGTCAATCCTACCAATTCAGGTATGATCTGGAAGCACAGCTGAAACTTTCATGTACCACTTGAAGTAGACTTTGCCTATCTTTACATCAGCAAAATGACATAAGCAACTTGTGATTTTACTCTTAAGGTCACACAGTCTAGCAGCACCCCTCTTGTTCTGCAAGTATAATTTTGAAGGCCCCATCTGTTTGTGATGTTCAACAGTATGAGAACCCACATTTATTTTCACAGGCCTAACCTGAACTGGAAACACTGCTTTTCAAAGTATACAGCCACAGAGAGGTACAATGGTACTGCGTTGGATGGTATTGCACGATCTTCAGGACAGAAGTGACCATACTAGACCCATAAGTCTCACAATGATCCTCCATACCCTCTATGATGACAGCACAGAAGAGCATCCCAATGATGATCATCTTCCACTGTGATCATTTTGCAGGCCCAGTACATAAGAGAGCAGCAAGGAACAAGTAGGTTGGGCAACATAAAAACAATTCTGTTGTACTTAATATCACTCAGAATTGCCAGGTAATAGCCCATATGGAGTCCTTCACCAATAAAGCTGGTCCTGCTACCATGTGACCTTTTCTTATAGGTGTGTCAATAGACAAGAAAGGAGAAACAGGACATTGTGGAAGCAAAAGGCTTCTGTGTGCCTAGCTACTACTGAAACTTGCTATGCTCTGAGATATGCAAAATCATCAGAGAATGATGATTCTCTGATGAATGGGAGGATAAAGGAAAGTGTGAACAGTAAAGGCATTACAGTGTTCATTCTAGGGGGTTCATATATAAGCCCAAACCTGATAATATTTCAACAAGAAAGCTTACAGGATGAAATGTAGAAAACCTAAGTCTTCCATCTGTGCCCGGACCTGGGCATTTCCCAGCAGGATGCAGGACATAGTCTTTGAGACCAATAACAGTATCATTCAATAGAGGAGGATTAAGCATTGGAAGTCTTAGCCAGTACATACTTCATTTTTTATAGGAGAGAGCATAATGCCCAATGTAAGCACATTTTAGTGGTATGATTCCTCCTACCATATCCTGTCTACTGGTCCAAATATTTAAGTTAAGAAAATTGTTTTTAAAATTGCATTCCTACATAAAATAAATCCTTATATCCAGTAAATATATCTCAAATATAGAACATGCCATGCAAAGTTACAGTTACCTTTTTAAGGATAAACCTCCATGGTGAGTATGTAGGATCACCTCCTAGCTAGGAATCAAATTATCTGACAGCAACTAGGGAACACATCTCATTATTTTATGTATATAAATATCAGCTTCCACTTCTAGCATCTCATCTCTACACCAAACAGCCCTCAGGCTTTTAATTATCAGTTCTCTGTTTCTTAACGATTCCAAATGGAACTTCCTCCAAGACAGAGTAGTTCCCCAAGAAAAATAAATAAATAAATGCAATGAAATATAATCACAACCCAACAATATTTTACTATTGTTCTCCAATGTAGACACCAGTTTCAGACTGTATTTCAGGGAAGAACTTCCATTAGATTCACAGCTGAGAAAGAGAGGCATACAGATTACAGAGTGAACATTTCAGATCAGCTGTCAGCCTGTGCTGAAGCTAATGGCCAGCTATGCTCTCCAGACCCATGGACCCATGGATGATCATGGCATCACAGAGAGACTAACTACTGAAACTGACAATGGATCTTTCTGTTCACTGGAGAACAGGAGAGAATCAGGTTTACAAACTCATTGACCCTCATGGTTGGATTGAGCTCTTCTGCGTCCCCTGAAGAGTTTGCATAGATAAATAAAGAGACACAGGACACTGAAAGGCTGTCAGTGTTGGGGAAAGAGTAAGCATGGCAGACTTCAAGAAGCATAGTTGGACAAACAAATAGACATACAAGTAGCATGGGATAAAACAAAAGCATATGAGCTTAGAGCAGTGAAAGATGAATAAAAGATAGCCAAACAGATTGCTCAACTCAAAGCATTTAATAAGATATTATTATGGTACTAGCCAGGAACCACAATGAGGGAAGAGATCAGATTCTGTTATAAATTACCATTGATCATATAGTGTAACAGACTTACTCCAGATTTTCACCAGTGTAGCTGATTCAAAACATGGGAGTATGTAGGGAGAGGAGAGGAATGTGAGAGGAATCAATCAAGCAGTACACAGAAACTCTGTGCTTCACCAGCACTGCAAAATCAAGAAGATAGATGGACAAAACAGAAGGGCCAAAACAGTGTGGCAATATATAACAGAAATGAAAAGAGAGAAGGGCGAGATGTAAGGACATGCTCAGCAGCTAAAGAGAGAATTCTGCAGCTCTGCCATGTGCTGCCTGTGCTGCCCTGTGCTTCTTGTGCCCAGCCTCATCCCAGCACCCAAGTGTGAGACAGCTCCAGCTGCACCCACCACGAGAGGCTACTGGAGGTGGGGTGAGGAGAGAGTGAGTGACAGAAGCAGCAAGGAGTACAGGATATTCCCCCACCCAGCATCGGTGGGAGGTGTGGTGCAGAGTAAGTGGGGAGACACTGAGGAGCAAGTTCCCTCTTCTCCTTTTTTATGAGGTGCTTCTCCTGACATTCCTCATCATTGTCCTCTTTCCCTTGCCTTTTCCCAAGCAGGCATCATTCAGAAATAGTTTTCTTGACAGCATACAATGAAAGGAAATCAAATTGTTCAAACCATAGCAAAGGTTGTAGACATAAAAACAAACCTAGACTAGCTGTCAGCCTACTGTGACCAGAGCCAGAATGCAGTAAATTACCTGAAGGCCTTCCAGCATTGCTCAGTGCCACAGGAAAAGAACATTACAATCAGATGAGCTGGGAGACAGGAGTGGGATTTTACCTGCTGTGCTCTGGTCAGACATGTGCAATATCAAAATGCCAAGTAATGGCTGAAATGAGTCAAATCTTCATGATGAAAACAGCCATTGGGGAGAGAGAGGCCTGTGCTTTTGGGTAAGGTGTTGATCACTGAAATGAGCCTTCAGTTAAATTGCAGCTTTGAGAAGGACATAGGATTTGTCCTTAAAGGGAAAGATGTTAAATAAAAAAAAAATAGTACGAGACAGAATAACTGAATCTGTTGGTACATAAACTAGAATGATGTGATATGGCTTGTTATGGGGTTTTTTGTTTGTTTGTTTGTTTCTGTCAGCTTTATTTTCTTTTGCATTTAAAGAAGTTCAGAGTAAAATCAAAAAGGTCTGTAAATGAATAATCCTCTCCCCCATCTTCTCACTATGCACCTTTGAAGGCACAAAACCCTTTCTGCCTGTACATCCAGGTGGCCCTGCTGTCAGATGAGAAGCTTGGCATGGCTCTCTGCATCAGTACTAC